TTTCATGGCTTCCTCTTACAGGTCAAGAACCATCTCCACCTACAGACATAAAGAGAGTCTCCTAGATGTGTCCTCAGGGATGACGGGATCCTCCCTTCACAACACAGTCCCCAAACTTCTGATTAGAGGCCCCAGTATTTCATGGGAAACAAATAGCACCACCAGATACAAGGCATGTAGTTGGGATGAGCGTCTTCAGAGCACCAAATTGTAGGGGATGGAAGTGCGTAGGCTGACTGCAGGAGTTGAGGAATCAGCGGAGGAGGAAGCATGTTTTTCGGTCATCCAGCACGATGGCCATGGTAGGCATGAGTGGACAAAGGAATGAAGAAGTCCTAGATGCAGAGCCTTGACCAGTGGGTTACTGAGTGACAAGCTTTGGCAAATTGAGATGCTCTAACAAAATGGTTTAGCTTTTCCAAGCCTCCTGAAGCTCTTCCACCAAATCAGTGGATCCATGCTAAGAGTGAAGCTCAGCTTTCTGACCTCTCACTGGACTGCGATGCCGTGAACTTTCTCAGCCTTTCCATTCACATCCTGGTCATCTAATTCCCTATGCTTCTTTGCTATAAAGACACGCTCTGTGCTCCTAATCACCTCATTAAAAAGATCTCCAGTAACCTCTGCGTAGAGGTTACTTCACATTCCCCAAGGATAAATGAGGTCTTCATACACCAGAGCTACTTGTTACTCCAGTTAGCTCTTCCTTTCATACATCAAGGAAGGATCACTCTTCCTTCATCATGCCCAAAGCTTCAGCGCACAAAGAAAAAGCTGGATGTGCAAAGTGCTGTTAAGAGACATAGCAGAAACAATCCATCCAGGGAAACATCATTATTTGTCTCCTCTCACTCTGAATGTCTGCTCTTGAGAGCATTTAAATCTGCCACAGACGGGTGGATGAAATGTTGCTCAACAGAAACACATGCCGCTTTAGTTAAATGATCCCAGATGGCCTTTGAAACGTTCCAGAAAAGTCTCGTGAGCAAAAGGGGCATCAGCCACTGTCGGGGGAGTCTGTAAAGCCACCCACCTGGTCATCCATCAACACCTTTTACCTGGTGTTCAGCAGCTTGCTTGGAGGGGAGGTGCTCCATGTTTTTAAGAATGCAAATAGATCAGAGCAGCCGGTTCCCTTTCATCCTCTGCTTTGTTGAGCTGTCCAAAGACTCGTTTTTCTAATCTACCAAAAAAAAAAAAAAAAAAATCGTTGCCTTCATAGAAGCTGTGTCTTTAGCCTCTCTCCTGACCCATTTTTATGCATGTTATAATTCCGTCGTTAATTAATATTTCAACCATCCTCCTAGTACTTGAAGCGTAAGGCTCGTGAGCCTGTTCCCAAGATCGTGCTTCTTCCTTTGTTTTACAGATGGATATAGCGCTTGTTCCTCTCCAGTCTTCTAGCATAGTACCGTATCCTGATGAGAGCTTATATGCGATACAGCTGCTTCATTCTTAAATTTCCACATAATGCCTAAGGGTGTCCTATCTCTTTTTTCCCCTTTTTCCCCCTCTTGATTTATTTCTCTTGGACTCTATATGCATTTCTGCTGTAATGCAAAGCAACAGAAGTTCAGTGGAGTGATCATCTGACCAGTTCTTATAGCCTCTGAGTTTCCTCCTGGGTTTTTGTTGGAAGGCAGAGGGATTTGCTCACCACTGGAAGTGACAGGATTGCTTCCTAAAACCCAGGAATTCCTCAAGGTCTTGGGGTGCTACTATAAAAACCAGAGCCTAGAAGACAAGCCTAGAAGATGAACAAAGGTACACAGTGAAAAGCATTGTGCACCTTTGCTTGTCTTCTAGGCTCCGTGGCAGCACGATTCCTCCCCGCTGTCCAAAAGTCATTGACAAAAGTCCCTGAGGAAGATGCTATAAATGAAACTGAGGCAGCCAACTGCTCTCACTTGAGGCACAAGACCACATTAAGTTTATGACAACTTTTGAGCTCTGCTGACATGGACCAAATTGGCTGGCAAAAAGCTTGTCATCCCAGTAGCAATCTCTTGAGTTTTGTCCCTTTACACAAATGCACATGGTGAGTGTACAATATTCTGCACGTACATAGAACAAAAAGCTAGTTACCAGCTCTTCAGATTATGGTAAGGGATTGAAGTCTTTGGGGTTTAGTTGAGGTATTCCTTTGTTTCATACATTTTAAAAAATATTTTTTTTGGGGGGAGAAAAAGGTTGTTTTAAAAAAAAAAAATTGCTACTTTTTCATGGTAGTGCATATAAGTTGTAAGTGAGATTTTTTTTTTTTTTTTTTTTCTTTTCAAAATCCTCTGCTACCATCGAAGTCCATGGTAAAACCTCCGTTTGACTTCAATAGGAATAAAGTTAGAACAACACAGAGGAAATCTGAAATGTCTACCTTGTATACAACCGTTGCACTTCCCTTCTGAAATGTACTGAATATAAATGCAGATGCCCTCCCTCATGAAGATGTACCGATCTATTTTAGAGTACTGTACGATATCTGGCCTTTTATGGAGTGTGAAAATACTCTACCCTGAGTGGTTCACATGGCTCTAGGCACTAGTTTCGGTGGGTGACCAAAGTGCTTAACCTCTCTCTGGTAAGCAGACAGTCAGATATCCAAGAGAATCTGTATAGGGAAGTATCTCACCCAGTTTAATCTTGTTTGGTGTGAAGCAAATTGTTTTCAACCAGAAGTGACCTTCAATTAAGAATGCTGCTTTAAAAACATGTTTTCTACTCTGTGTTTTCCTGGGTTTCATGTGTTGGATGTTTTATTGTACAAGATGCTCAACCTGCATGTAAACAATACTGTTTTCTTTGACGCTGTCTTTTCAGGGTTACATGCTGTGGGCAAATACTTTGATACCGTTTTTATTGATGCTGATCAAAGAAAGCCTGCTAACTACTACAATTTTGTCCTGGATAACCACTTGCTGAGAGAGGATGGAGTGATCTGTATGGAGAATACACTCATGAAAGGACAAGTCTACCTGGAGAACGTATCTGATGAAAATGTATTAGCTGTCAGAAAATTAAACACAGTAATTAATTCAGATCCTTGTGTTGGGCAGGTTAGTGTTATGCAATTAGTTAAGGGTAATATTGGTATTTTAAGCACCTCTGGAATTTCATCAGCCTAAGTGTTTTGTTAGGGACTTGGAAGGAGGCTGTCTCAGTTATCACAGTTATTTCATAGAGAAGTCGTCATACTCTAACACCGTTCTTTTACTAGTTGCACCAGGTTATGGCAGCAAACTGGGGGGAGAAAAGTATATTATTATAATTCACTTTGTGGAAAGCTAAGTATGAGTTACTAGATCCAAAAAGATTCATAATGTGCATCTTCATCATCTGTTTTTATATACAGAATAACTGTGAACTGAAATATCAATAACAGATGCTTAAGTTTAGATGGTAGCATTGCATCTACAAGGATAGCCTGGATCTTTTGCTAAGGTATGGTCTCGTGATAGACAGTGCCTCTGGACCACTAGTGCAGGCGCACACATCATACCGATGGAGATCAAACTGTAATTTGCAAGCAGAAGTATATGAACAAGAGTAGGAAAAATAGTTCAGGGAATAGTAGATGTCACAAAACCATAGTAATGGTATTACTTTGAACCTCCAAGGCAGATTTGGGTACAATATGCAGTCAAGCCAATATCTCAAGGAACTTAAAACTCCATTAAACAGAAAATGGGAATTAAATGCACTGGAAGTTGAGAGGCTGAGCTTTGTTTATAAAACTGAAAGGAAAAAATGACTTTTGTACTGGCCTCACATTGTGTAGGTAATGAGTCTTGAAAAGAAGTCTACAGAAAGATGGGGACCTGGCATGTTTGGATAAAAAGTCCACTGAAGTTCATGGAAAGACTTCTGTTCATTTCAGTGAGCTTTGGAGAGGCATGAAGTGGTGGTCCTCATTTTAAAAAAAAAACATGATACCACATGTTCATCTGGGCACTTGCTTATACATGTCATATTTTCCAGGCTATTTCATCCATGCAAGGTAGAACGAGTGGCATTCAAAGGAAATGAACACCTTCAGATGTGGTGATTAATTCAAAGGTGGGAATTTCCTCCCCATAAGCCTGTTGGATAACAAATCTGCCATGATTTCCTGGGGGCTGGGAATTTGCTCTGTTTCCATCCTTATGTGCTAGGGAGAGGAATTAGATGAATGGCTTCTGTTTGCATAGAAGTAAGAGACAATAGTGAGAGAGATCAAATTATTATGTGCCCAGGAAGGGAGAGCAACCAGCTATTTTCCGTATGCTATTAATTATGGTAATTCTTTCCCTTTCCTACTCTACCCCTTTAAAGGTCACCTCTAGTACTCCTCAATTTTCCTTCCCCTCCCCAGAGATCAAAGCTTGCTGAAGTCAATGTAAGGTGTTTGCATGAGGCCCAGTTTCAGATCCCGCACCCCTTAAAAACTTCAATGTCCAATTATCCAAAGAGTGGAGGGTGCAAATCCCTCCAACACCCACCATGCTTAGTGTCATGCTAGCTAGAGGGATTGCAGCGACGGCTGTTTGTCAGTGTTAACACTGGACCAAATTAGATGATGGTCACAGATGGCAATAAACACAGAAGTCCCCTGCATGGATCCCAGCACTTTTTAATTAATTTTTTTTTCTACGCAAATATTAGGATCTGTATTCTATTTTGTCTGGTAGCCTGTGCCAACGCCTCTCTGTCTAATTCCACAATGAGCATTGTACTCAACCCTCTAGATGCCACTTGTGCTGCAGAAAGGGGAGAGTCCATGTTTTATTCAATGGACCACCGTATTGAGGTGTTTGAACAAGAGCAGCCAGTATGTCTTCCAACAGCACAGATGCTCGGCTCTATTGCCAAATCCCTCCGCGAGTCACTTGGGGCTAGGACTTTTGTTGCTGTTTGTGTTTCCCAGCACTGAAGCACATGTGTGTGCACACACTTAATAGTTTTATACCACTGGATTTTTCATCACTGCATTAGGCTTTCCTGCTCCAGAAACAAGTGGTGAAAGGCAATGTCTTTTGGGGCTACAGAAGATATTGCATTCTTGATCACCTGCGATGTGATGGCAAAGTGGCCGATGTAACAGGCGGAGGCCGGAAGAGCATGCAGTGCAGGGGCAGGTGCTAAGATGCCCAGTGTGAATCTGGTACTTGCAAAGGTAGAAGCTGTGCATGTGAGCTAAGCCTGAAAGGTAAGTGGTGAACTACCAGCAGTTCAGATGTTCCTGTTGTACAGACACACTACAAGGCTCATCACTGGTCTGTCTGTTACTGTAAGCTCAGTACACTTCTTGTTGGTACAGATATCTTACTCATGTTGTGGTGGAAAATAAGTCCAAAGAGCAAAACAAAGATGCTTGCAAAGAACACACAGTAGTAAGCCACAGGAGCAGAGCACAATCTCAGCGCTGCCTCCACAAACAATAACCATCCTCACATTGTCTGCTTATGTTACCTAGCAAAGTAAGTGCAGCCAGGAAGGCAAATTACCCTGGGGGGGGGCATGGGAAGGAGAAAACAGCATACAATGAGCCATGACTGACAGGAACAGAAGAGATCGATCTTTTGTAAATAAGTTCCATATAATATACATCAATCAGGGAGAAAAAGAGGTGTTGCATACCGTAAATCGTGCGGCAGCTAAGGCACTTAAGACTTCACTAACAAAGAACAGCCAGGTGCAGCCCACAAATGCTTCAGCATGTACCTCCCTCTTCATATGCAGCACCCATTGTGGGGCTAGGACATATTGGTGGCTTGCATAACGCTCCACATGGCACTAATCTCTTTCCTGTGTATTGAATACCCATGACCTGAAGTCTTCAGTCACTTGGGACCCATTAGCTTCATTGAGGGGGAGGTGTTGCCCATGGAGAGACTGCCAGGATTTGGTTCATTTGAGTGCCACCGGCTTCTGCTTGCTGGGTCCACAGAGCTGCCTTCATTCAGGAAGTTTCTGTTTTCTGGGCAAAGAGTAAGGCAAAAGAGCTAGAGAAGAAGCTTAAAGGAAGCAGTACTGGCCATTCCTGGAATTTTTTAGTGGGCCTTTCTAGTCGCATCTAATTTTCCATGTCACACGCTTAAAAACCAAAGGCTAAGGTTTTCAAGGGTGGCTAGTGATTTTGGATTCCCAACCTGTGACAGGTAGGAGCTTAATTTTTCCAGAGGGTGAGAATTTGAAAAATCTGAACATCAGGTCTCTAAAGCCCTGGGTGCCCAAAGCCTGAGGTATGCAAGGCCTATTTCTTTGGAACAGTCTTTGAAACCAAGCATAAGCAAAAGCCCTAGGGCCTCGATGTGGGAACAGAATAATAATCTACATCATAACGTAAACCGCAAATAAGAAGTAAAAATCTTCCACAAACCATTTCTGTTTTAGCTGTAAAAATGTAAAACGTGGCATAAAATTCAATTTCCCCAAACTCATTTTCAAATAGGTGAACGTTTAAGCTATAATTATGTAAGTAGACCATTGGAAAGCTAGTTGTGACGCATGTGACTCATTTTGTAATTCCTCTTGTGAAGTTCTGTTCAAGTCATCTCCTAGGCTACACCCTTCACATCACTCAAGACATGGCTTCATTCAGGAAACTGGTATAACTTGAACCCAAAGACCAACGTTTGTGTCAATGGATAGAGGTCTAAGCAATCTGTCCATGGAGGTATTCTAGCTGACCCACTGGTTGGGAAATAACTACTTCTGTTTTGTTACCTGGTGTGGATCTTTCCCTGACTAAAATGCCAAGTAGTTGTGAAAGGCAAATGTTAGCCCACAGAAAACAGTTACAGCACAACTGGTAACCGTAAAACTTTCTATAGCCCTGCCATGACACCCTTGACCGACTTCCTGGGGAACTGCTCTGCAGTGGACAAGGGTAACTTAACCTCCATGTGAATATTGTTCTTGGTCTCTGCAGGCACTGTCCTGAGTGACTCTAGTTTGTGCAGAAGCAGCTGTAATAAGCAGCATGAGGCTTATTCCATGCAGGCCTCTGACCACCAATTTAATGGTACGGGCTTTGTAGGTTTTGATCCCCAATCCATAATAGTGCCTTGCAACTGAAAGCTTCCAGCTCCTATTACAAATTCTCAAGTCATCCAGTTTCTCTTTTCCCTGAAGCTTCTCATTTCCTATGCACTTAAGCCATATGGTCTCAGCCTACAATAGCTATGCCCTATAGGTTAACTTGCCTTTTGGACATATTGTTTCACAGTTAGATTCTGAATATCAAGCAGAGCTATTCTGAAAGAAATGGACTACTTGAAGGAGACGCGTCCCTTCGGCCGTTTAGCAATCTATTGGAAGTCTAGTATAACTTTTCTCCAGGGCATTCTTCTTGGAGGAGTTTGAATATCCATCCTGCAACTGGTGCCTTATATCAACGTTTCTCAGCTGGTGGGCAGTGAGCCCTGGGGGATGTCATGAAAGACGGTCAGAGCCATTGAAAATGTTCTTACAATCCAAAGCAATTCACTGCACACCTTTACCCCTCAAGGTCAAGTATTCTTTGTCAACCTCTTAAACAGAGTTGGCCCGACAACAGCAATTCTTATTCATGACCGTCTTGGAAGGTTTAAAATTTGGTTGCATTCCACATTGAAACAGAAGCTTTTGAATGCTTTTGTGGAATAGAACTGAGTTCAAATATCCACTCTTTTTTCGTAGGAAAAGCCAAGCTTCCATTTTTTTTCTGAGTCTCACTCATCAGAAGTGACCAGAGAGCCCACCCCCACCCTCAGAAGTGTTCCCTGTCAAGGAGTTAGACTAAATCAATGTCTTGATGGGAAATTTGGTCTCCATGAAATACCAAACTCTGGTCGTATTTTATTGAAAATGGTGCAAATAACTCTCATTTCTTGCCCTCCCACATGCACACACCAGACCTGACGTTTTTCACATAGATCTGTAGATGTTAGGGCTGGAAGGGACCTTGCAGATCATTGGGTTCAACCCCTCTGCACTTGGGCAGGAAAGGTCGGATGACCTCAGCAAGGTGGGCGTGAAGATGCTTTTTGAAGATTGCCAGGGTGGGTGACCGTACCGCCCGCAGCTGACCCAAGCAGGGTGCGGGGCCTGGGGCAAATCAGCCCATGTGAGGCACCACCCCAGCCCTGATCCTGTGTGCCCCAGATGTGAAGAAGCCGCCACCGCCATCGGTGGTGGCGCCAGTGGCTGGGGAGGGTAGTGAGTGGCCAGACGCAAAGCCGGTGGCATGGAGTCACTGCGGCTGCTCCACCTGGCTTCACGGGGCTCCTCAAAGTGTGGGGCCCAGGATGGTAGCCCTGATTTGCCCCCGCCGCCCCGGGACAGCTGTGGTACCACCTCTGGGGGAGAGTCTGTTCCAGACCCTCAGCGCTCAACTTGTAAAGAAGTTGAGTGCCAGCACTGATGCATTTTTCACTAAGTGGAAGAGGTTTATGAAATACTTTCACATTAAATAAGAAGTCAGCAACCTGAAAAGCTTAAAAAACACTGCCATACATCATCACTTGATTATTTCAGAATATTTTATTTGGTTCCCAATAAGAAGAGCCCCTTACGCTTACTTAGTTTGTATATTCTGTTTCAGGGAGCATGTTGTCGTCTTCAGTGATGGTGCCCTCGCCAAGAGATGAGCTTTAAAGACAGTGATCCCAAATTTGGACTTGGGCAGACATAGGATTTATCTTTGGTGTATCTTCATTGATTTCTTGGTGTTTATAAATGTCTTTTTTTTTCCTTGGAAAAAATATATACTTCTTTAGATTTTACAAAAGAGCTGCAGATGTCGCTAAATCCTTGTAGAAGAATTGAAAAAAGAAAAATGCAGAAGCTTAATTAAAAATCCCCAAGGGTAGTGTCTTCTGATACCTGCTACCAGTAATTTCACAGGAACATATCTGCTTGTTACTGAGGGAAAAATTAGCCCGGTATATCTGGAACCTGTTTAAAAAGGGCATCTTCACTGTAACCCCGCGGGGGCCTTTTCCACAGCTTTGCTTTTAGATCTTCTTGCCTTATGTGCATTTGATAACACTGTCATTATTTATAGCAATAGTAAGGAATATGGCCCAATCCTGGTAGGCGCTGTGGGCATCAAACACCTCCCCCCATATGCCAATTCCTGTCGTAAGGAGCCACCGGTCTCAATAAAGTGCTTCTTTCCTTGCCAGCTGCATGTGTTTCACCTGAAAACTGTTTCTGCATAATTAATCCATGGGGGGAAAAAAGCACGCAAAAATACTGCAGTGCACATACTATGCAAGAGTTGAAGAGAATTTTGCAATACCAGCCCATCACATAAAATGTAAGCCTCCCTTTCTATAAATACCGACTCCTATGAGTGACTTGGTACGTGGGGAAAGTCCCAGTGATGGCTGCACATGAGAAATTTGATGTATTAAATGGCCAAATGCAATGGGTCCTCCCATAAACAAGCATTTGCAGCATCAGGGCCTAAATATGATGCATTTGCTTGAACTGCCTTGGGTTGCAGCCTTAGAGCTGGGCTCCCATGTTTTAAATGAAGCATTTAACTTTTTAATATATCATTTTAAGGGCTTGTTTGCTCATTCCAGATCTAGAGCTTGGAAATGGATTTAATCAGTTCTGACTAAAATTGATGTATGATTTTTGAATGAGCATCCATTTACCAGACTTCCTCTAGACGCCCATATGCAAATCCCATAATGTCTAGCAGGAGCTACAGGTACACAGCTAAGGGAAAATGAAACCCCTTTGTTGTTTAGTGCTGTATTTGGGTGCCAAGGAGGACTCCTCTCTCTCCCATATATGTGCACAGTCCCTATTAACATTAGGTACATGAATACATCAATGGGAGAACAGACCCAGATGTTAGTCATTTTATTTCCCTGCTTTTGGTTTGTCTTTGATAATATCTGTTATCAGCAACCACTGGGGAAAAAAGTCCATTATTTTGTTGTTGATAAAACATGGCTCTATTGCATGAATCCATTATTTCTGAGGCAAAAGCAGATGTATGGATGGAGCTGGTCAACATCTTCTCTTTTGAGTTTTCAACATTTGTCCTAAAAAAAAAAAAAAAAAAAAGTGCATTTTGATGAAAATATTCCTTAGTTCATGTGGATTTAGCTTAGCTCGGTAATACATTAACACTTTATTGTCACCCAACGCGAAAAGCCATTACAATTTTGGAAATTCTCCTCATTTTTTGTAAATCTATATGCGTGATGGAGCTATCGGCGAGAGCAGAGCTTGATCAGTCTCATTCTATTAGCACTGGTTCTATAATCGGGCCAGTTTTGTTCTGTAAAATTAATGGGAAAGTTTACTGTAATACTCATTATTTACAAGCTTAGAAGACTGTTAGGAGAAGATAGGGTCAGGTAATTGTTATTATTTTTTGGTGTATTTGTGGCACTCGTGGTAAGAGACAAATGTGTTGTTTTGCAGCAGGTACGTGCATTTATCTTTGCAGGTTCTCAGATTGTAAAACAGCCCTTTTTCTGCACTGATACCTCTGCTGGGAAACATTGGGACATGCCATTTACTGGGTCAGACCATAGGCCCATCTCGCCCAGTATCCCGTGTCCTTCTAGGATGGTGTTGCACTATTTTATTTATCTGGAAATCACCTGAGCATGGAGGGAGGTGGTAATGTGCCAGCAAAAAAGCCCCTGTTGTCTTTGTATTTGATTGAATTGGACAAAGTGATTTCCAACTTTGTGTGTACAGTATCTTGGGGCATTAAGAGCAGAACTTTTCTTGGTTTTAGTGAAAGATATTGGGTTTTCAAATAAACCTCTATGGAGCTGCTGTCTCGAGCAGTTTCCTACACTTTCAGCCTTTAAGGCTGCTAAATGAGGGCTTGATTCGGAGCTTGCTGCAATCGGTGGGAATCTTTCCCTTGACTTTGGATAGGTCTTAAACTCTGCCAGATGCTGCACGCAGATTTTAGGGGTGAAGTGGGGATGCAGTACTCGCCTGAGAGTTATGAAGAAAAGGGCATGCAGAGACGGTCCTCCCCACCTCTGCACCTAGGGATGAGATCCAGAGTCTCTGCTGGAGTGGAAGTGCTGATGAGGTCTGGCGTCACGTGGAAACAAACTTCAGAGCTTGCTCAGTGAAACAGCCTGTGGTCTGGGTTTAACTTTTTGGATGGCTGGCTGATGATTTATGGCTTGGAGACTTTCACACGCAAATATCTGAGATGCTGGAATTCATCATGCAAATCCACGCGAGACCAAAAAAAAAAAAAGAGGGGAAGTGATTAAGGGCACTGTTCAAATTCCACAATGCTGAATTTATGGCTAGCTCCTTTTCACCCTCCTGCACCTGCACGTCCTGTGGAAGCCAACGGTACTATTCATGTGCACGTACTTAAGGGTGGGCTGGCCCAGTGGGGTAAAACAACGGCACAAGCCATCGCAGAGTATGGGCCAGTAAGTTTGACTCAGGACAGCATGTAAGGACAGCTCTTACCCTCTATCATGTAACCCTTTGCTTTTGGCACATACTGCATTTACATCTGTGCCTCTACAATTGTGTCTTCTTTTCTTGGATGATGGCATAATGTGTGGACCAATATGCATTGCTACCAATGTGAAACCCTTTGGACATGTATGAGGAGTAAAGAAGTCTGATATTCTCTACAGGATGTATTTTTGATACTGCCTTCCCTGCCCTCTGCGTTTGGCTTCTCGACCTCTGAGCAGTGCTGTAACTCAAAAGGTCACCTCCCTGCTTGTCAGGGAAGGCTCAGTCCGCCATGCTTCACCTTAAGCACATGTGCATCCCTATTGATTTCAAGCACTTTGCTGGGTTAATTGGGACCCTTATAAAATATGGTTCTATATTTTTATTTAATAGAAGTAGATTATATGCAGTAATAAAAAATATGTAATTTAATTGGGACATTGGGGATTTTATTTTATTGATATTTTACATGGGGCAAATCAAGTTGTTATTGGGAAAGCAAGTGTATCAGTCCATTGTTATGCCTGCAGAGTGTATATTTTATTTTATATCTGTATATTAGGTTTTATTCTTTGAATTGTGAGCTCAATGAGACTGAATGTGTTTCTATGGGAGCCATCATTTTTAATATTTTAATTTTTCATATTTCAAGCGCAACTATTATTCTGGATAGATTTTCCTCTGCCATCATGCATTGTGGGAAGAGAGCCCTTAAGAGCTTGACACTAGTTTATTCAGAATCAGATAGCCTGATGAATTGCTGTGATTTCCATGGCATCTGGGATCTGACGTAAAAATAGATCTGCTTGAACAAATGATATATTTTGTTTTATCTTGTTTATGAGCTGATACCAGTCATCTGAAAGTGATGCCCCCTTATGATCCACAGGACTCGGAGAACTGCTGAATGAACTATATAGCTAGCCATTGAGCTGCACTTAATCTTTTGACCAGAAGATGGTGTCATGTTCACAGGTTCGTTCAATTTGGAGAGCCAGAACTCTTGGTTTTAAATGTTGATTGTATGTTAGATTAGAGATAATTTAATGTTCAAGAGTTAAAGGAAAAAACTTCCAAAAAGATTCATTTTTGAAAGCTTTGTGCTGCTATAAGAAATGCATAACTCACTATAGTCAGGGGAGTGGACTGGTTTGCTTTTTGTTTTAAGTTGCACAAGAAAGAACACTTTATTTTCTGTGAATTCCTCCCTTTACTTGATCAGTCTCATTTTAATCTAGGGATTAAAGACATTGCATTGGCAGCAGATGTAAGCAAACCTGAAGTTGTGCAAAGGGTAGTTGAGGCTGTGGTAGCTCAGTGGGGCACAATTCATATTGCGTGTAACAGTGCTGGACTCTGAATTTTGCAAGTGAAGAGACTCCACTAGAAGAACGAGACAAAACTTTTAATGGTACCTTATGAGGCTTGGTTTTATGCTGCCGAGTAAGTATGAGACCCTGTATTGTTTTCTACAGAAAACTAGCTGTTTTCTGAGCCTTCGCCTCGTAATATAGAACTGTCGCTAATTATCATCATAAAACGCATCACAGAACGGTGGGTGTTAATAATGGTTTTGTGGTGTGTTGAATCTACATTTAAGTCGAGATGTTCAGAAGTAACTAGTAATTATTGGATCTGAGAGGCTTTAGGGAAAAAAGTCCTGATTTTCAGAGGCTGAGCACTCAACACAGTCTGAAAAATCAGACCTTGGGGGGTCACCAGTCCTGAGCCGTACAAGTCCCATCTCACTTTTCAGTAAACCTTGCCAATGTTGTAGGTGAATTTCAAATGACAGTGGAAGTTTTTCTGCATCAGCCATTTTTATATCAAGTTTTTATATCCAGCACTTTAAAAAAAAAAAAAAAAAAAAAAA